GTATGTAGTGGCAAGTATGTAGTGGCAAGTGGCACGCTCACCACGTGCACTGTCCCTGTATCAATCCCTTGCTTCTACACAGGCCAATCATGCCTTCTTCCCTCCGTGACGTGACGTCCTACGTGTTATATGATCTATGGGCGGAAAGTAACATTGACTTGCACATAGGCTTAAACCGCAAGTCATTGTATAGGCCACATCGCATTCAATAAGCCACTACGATTCTGAATGGAAGTAGAATGCGTGCCGCATCCCAAAAAGGGATCGCTCAGCAGCGAGCTACCGCAAGTCATTGTATAGGCCACATCGCATTCAATAAGCCACTACGATTCTGAATGGAAGTAGAATGCGTGCCGCATCCCAGAAGGGATTGATCAACGGGAAAGACTTCATCCATTTTTACTTCTCTCATGTGCTTTAGTACCGTTAGAAAAACCTGTTGAAAACACACATCCGCAAGTGTATCATCATGACCTACGCAGAAACAGATACATGCTTGTAGAAGGTTCTCTGCTATTCCCAGAGCACTCCACCTTTCCTCCAGTGGCATTCATGTTTGCCCAGAAAATCGCATCTCCACGTGAAGGCATAACTGTTGCACGTAGTTTCGGGAAAAGAGTCCCTGCAATTATTTTGATAGGTGCTCTCTTTCAGAGAAGCCATCCACAATACGTAATCGAATTGTACTGGTGGACGCTCGACCCCTTCTTGAGAAAGTGCCAACGAACTGCTCACGCCTGTTCACCCACCTCCCCCTTTTGTCGCAGGCTGGAGCATAAGAAGAAAAGTTGCCATTCTTTGTCCGTAATTCTTCATCCAATAACTCCACTGTTTTGGTGAAGTATACGTGATGTAATCAAAGTGAGGCGCGTAGTGGCCGCCGGGATAGTAAGAAAGAATCTGAAATGCTACTGTGAGAGCGATTTTCTTCTGGTTCCACTTCAGTGGATCTTCTACTCACAGCTCGAGCTTTAGACAGACTCATACCTGCCACTTCTCGCTGGACTCGAAATTTATAGAAGGCAGCATTGCTTTCACTCGTCTAAACATTTTGGCAACTTCACTAGTTTCTTCGTGTGAAAGCCACGTGCCATTAGCTTCTCTAGCACTGATCTCTTTGACACTACCTGGCTTATCTTTCTCATTGTCAACCACTACCTAAAAAATGAAAGTGAGCTCATGGCCATCGCATAAAGTAAAACTAGAATCAAAATATCAGCTGGTTTGCAATTTACTGTTTTTCACATTCTCCCTTGTTTGCTATGATGCAGCAGATATAGAAGAAGATCGAGAGAAAACTGTTGGTTCATTGCCTGTTACAATCGTACTAAATCCAATGACATGCAGTGTTTCGCTCTTGGATGTGGTGAATTGCTCGTTTTCTGTCGTGAAAGCGTTAATGTCACCCCAAATTAACGCAACTGTTCATTATCAGACCGGAGCATTCATCACGAGCAGGAGCTATCGCCCCACCTAGTAACTTGGCAAATACTGACAGCTCGCATAGGATAGCAGGTTATCACGAGAATAGGATTGGTGTAACCGCAGTCATAACTCGTCATTAGAAAGGTGGATTGGAAGAACAGAGAGAGGATCGAGAGAAAACCTGTTCCATAGCGTGTATAATTAATATGAAAACATGAATTGTTTCCTGTAAATGTGGTTAACTGCTCGCTACTTGTCTGGTCATGAAAACGTTAAATTGAACACAAGTTCATAATTATTGCGCTTACCTTCCACTAGTAAATCAGCTCCGCTCGAGGCCATATTTTGCAACAATCACTGAGCACTTGATTCGATGAAGCAGTGTTTTGGCTCCCTTGTAGGGAATCGCTACGAAACGCTACAGCACAATAATTTTGTTAGGCTTAAGGTGGATGCTTTGGATGCCTTTGGCCGGAGACTAAGGTCATTCCTTTGATAATGATGACGCTGGTTCCGGGGAACTGTGGTGACTTCGCACTTCTCTGGCTAAGGCTGAAGGACCGCATCAGAAAATATCTCTGCGAGGCAGAACCGCGAGAAGCACTGCGTAATTCCTTAACATTATGCCCACAACACTCCACACCGCGTTGAGGTTTGATGGAAACCATCTATGATGCT